TTTGAAAATTACACATAAACATATTGCAAATGGGGAAAGCTGAACAAGGAGGGGTGCAGCAGCGTGGGTCCTGCGAGAGCTGACCGCAACAACCGGTCAATAGTATAAATACTCTAGCTTGGGCTACATCGATTTATATATCTCTTATGGAGTTTTAAAACTGTTTGAAAACGACTAAGGCGTAAAAGCTGAGAGATATTTTCGGATTTGAAGTACTTATAGTAAAAATATTAATTTTCGGCTTAAACGTCAGTCAGTCAGCCTTTCAGCCAAGAAGGATTGAATCTACATTGATCTCTTCCAAATCTTCAGTGTGGCATAAGCGTAATTACATAATGATCAATCATAATCATTCAATTATTAACAGTTAATCAATCATTACCACTCTATCAATCATCATCAATCACTCAATTATTACTAGTCAATCAATTTGCATCACTCCTTCAAGCTGATCGTTCAGTCACTCTTCATCATTTATCAGTCAATTAATATCGGTCAATCCATTAACATTAGCCAATCAATCATCAGCAGTCAATCAATTATCATTAGTCAGTCAATCATAATTTATTTGTCAATTATTATTACTCAATTATTATTATTATTATTACTCAGTGCTCAATCGTCATCAGTTTGCAAATCAACATGGTCCAGTCAACGTTCATCTTCAATCACATCATCAGTTAGTCAATCATCAATAATCTCCACGTAGTCAAACACTATCAGTCACACAATCACCATGAGCTGCTTTCAGTCAAGCTTCATCAATCATTATCAGTCAGATAAAAGATAGTAAAACACATTCTAAATTAGACTATCGACGCTTAAGAAAAGCAAATGAAGAGCATTTGAAATTCATTATTTTTCAACTTTGATATCGGTCGAAGCTTGCGTGAGAAGCATGCGAAACATGTGCAACATATTTGCCATTGCATTTGGCAACATCATTAAGTTGAAAATTGTTGTGCCACACAGGAGTGCAACGGCCTATGAAGGACCGCAGTGGAGATGGCAACTGGATGCAATAGGAGCCGGATGCACTGGAGGGCAAAGGCAATGAATTTTCATGAATGCAGTCAAGTCTATAAAAATTAATGCCACATGCAGTTGGATGCGTTTTAAATATGAGTGTGGAAAAACTGTGTGGAAAATTGGCTGAAACACTCAGCTCAGAGCTCAAACCCCCAAGTGCGGCGCCAGGCTTATCAAATGGTCATTTTTGTTTGCATTTAATTAAAAATCAGACAAAAAGGCAGGACACGTGTCAATGTGCCGCCTCCAACAGGACGCCGAACGCAAGGACACGGGGTGCGATAAATCACGCTTTAAACAAATGCCAAGTAATTTATCAATGTCAACACTAAGCAACCAAAAACGCCAAGAAGGATAACTTTTGTTCGAGAGTGCACAACCAGTAGCTACCCTGTACTATAACAAGCACTTCAGAGTGTCATACACTTGCCCTAGCTCAATATACATACACTTAGGCAGATTGACATTCACACACACATAAGCACGAGCGCCATCTATTGCTCGTTTTTTGCAGATTCTGCATTTCTTCCTGCTATAGCCCCCACTATGGGAACTTTGTTGTTGAATAACTTCGAAACTGGTTGAAACATTTCAATGCAATTCTTAATGAACAATCAGGACATCATAATGTATTCATATGCCAAAGCTCAGGTTTTACCTATTTAAAATAGATTTTATTTCTTCAATTGTATGAAGGTATGTTAAAAATTTCCATAATCTGAAATAATTATAATCTGCTCAGTCGCTACAATACACTAAATGTTAAATTTGATAAATAATAAACTGAGTTAAAATATAGATTTTTATCGATAGCAGGAATATGGAATGAGTTATCGGAAAATAGATGAGATATACAATTTATTTAATGCAAATTTTAAGGTCTGTAGCTTTAGTAACTTATAAGTTGGCTCCATTCATACGAAAGGACTATCAGAGAGAAGCAAAATCACAGAAAGACAGACAGGACCTGGCTAGATTGACTCAGAGCCATCTGCCACGCCTTCCTCTGCCTCTTACAAACAAATGATACCCAACATGTCCAATGGATTCCAGGGTAAATTACAAAAAAAAAAAAAAAAACAGAAATGAAAAGTAAGAGCTGAAAGGATTAACATCCTTGCTTAAGCGCTTGCATAATTAAACGCATGCAACCAGAGCCTTGGGACGGGGACACATTATCAATGTAAATTCGTGTGGCAGCCACGTTTTGTTTGCCGCTGCTCAAGACTTTTGCTTAATTTTCAATTTAATTGTGGCAGGCAGGCTCATGGTCAAATGGTCAGCCACACTCACACACTCACACACACTTAGGCGTCTGTTTGTGTTTGCTTTGGGGTTTGGGCGGCCAAAGTTCACTAAATTGCATTTCGGCACGCAATTAGTGGTTCATTTGCCGCCCGAGCGAGTGTGCCTTGTGTGTGTGTGTGTGTGTGTAGATGGACAAGACTTTCGATATTTGCCCGGTTTGGGGGCTTTGCTTATTTGCTTTGTGTGCAAACTTAATTTCATCTTATTACGGTGCAGAAATTTTGCAATTTCCGCAAATGCCCAGCAACTTGGACTTGGACCTTGGTCGAGAACTACGTCTTGGCCTATTTGTCCTTAGAACGGAAATGGAAAATGCGTGTAAGCAGGCAGGCAGGCAGCCAGTGAGCCAGGTAGGCCGGCAGCCAGTCAGGCTCAAGTGTTTATTTGGAGTCCTAGGACTTGATTAGTTTATGTGGCGTCTGCTCCAATCATTTAAGTTACATATTGCACTAAGATCGCAGTTAAGTTTCTTAGCTGCAACTGCAAATAGAATATATTGCTTTAATTTTCTAATACCCTCTTATCAACTTATTTAATGGGTATAATGCGTTGTGCATTAGAGGCAGCAAGAGGTGTGGCCGACTCCGTGCCGAGTCGATCTACCTAGCTTCCTCTGCCCTCTGTTCGAGGCAGATATCTCGGACAGTACAAAAGCTACAGACTTAAAATTTGAAATATATATTGCTGTATACCCTATGTAGTATGAGCTTATCAGTTTTTTAACAAAGCTCATTCATTTAGTGTTTAACGCTATAAGTAAATACTTTAAGTTGGGTTCCTAAGCTTAATAGAAGACTATTAAAGCTAAAGTTCTAACATTTTTATGTCTAATAATGAATTTTCAGACTAAAAATAATTTATATTAGAAATATTTCTATCACTCCTACATTAGATTGAAAGAGAAGCACATAGCTGAGTAAAAGGCAGCAGCTGCACAAAGTGACCAATAGATGGCGCCTGTACTCTGCTCCTGCCTGCCTCTATTCGTACAAGAATCCTCGAGCAACAGCTGTGCGCCGGGTTCAGGCCATCTCCTAGCCCAGTTTCGGCTTCATTTTTTGTTGATTCCACAAATCAGATAATTGTAAATTGTAAAATTACCTAATTTATTGCATTTTTTTGCGCTGAGAAATTGCAGGACACTCCCTAAGTGGCATGTTTCACTATTTTACAGAAAGCAGAGCAGCGCATAAAAGAAAAGCTAATTTAATTAAAAGAAAATGCAATCAAAAACGCCATTTGGCAGCGTCTCCTGTGACCCGTGTCCTGGCATTGTCCTGTGCGTGCCGCCTTGCAATTTTCGTCCTGATGCAGGACACTTTTTACGACCGCAAAACAATGACGAAATGCAGCCGCAAGACAGAGACGGCAAATGGCAGCCAGGATATGCCATGCGGTTGTTATCCTGCGATGCGATTTTATGCACATTTATCATAATTTCACACGCAGCCCTCGACGAAGCCGTCACAACAAGGACGCTTTTTTAGTTCTGTATTCTAGGTCCTAGGGTTCGGTAGCGCATAAAAAATATAAATTTAAGTGCAGTAACTCCTCGGGGGGCGCGGCCGGAGGTGCAGAAATTGCATTTCGCCTTTTACGACCAAATGACATTTATGGCATTTCCTTAGCCAGGACGAAACGGAAGGCAACTGTAGGTAATAACCCATTAAAACTATTCGCATACATACACACACCTCGGCTATAGGTAAAAAGGACTTTGACATGTAGATCCTGATGGCAACATGTCAACACTTCTGCTTTTCTACTTCTCTTCTCTGTGCCGATTTCCTTGGCGCCAACAACAATGTTTTGCAACTGGTTATTAATATTAATGCCAGCCAAACTGTAAGCCATAAACTAGTCGTTTATAATAATAAATTCAGAAAATAATACAAAAAACGTTGAAAGTTAAAGGAAGTGCGAGGCTAAGCAATGCTCTGCAAACTTATGGAAATAACAAAGTTGAAGTATTGGTTATTCTTTTAAAATATTACAGGGTACATTATCTAACTAGACAAGTTACCGATTAGATTAGACGCTAGATGTAGGCTATATATTATAAAGAACTTCTTACGGGGTATTTTTCATAAAATATGAGATGGCTTTAAATAAAACTTAGACTAGATACAATTGAAGTTTGAATGCTCAAAATACTTTACTTAAAAAATGTCGAGAACAACAATATACAAAACTAAATTAAATAGTATATATGAAACACGAATACAATTTCAAATAGCTTAGAGGGTATGTGCTAGTAAATCCCTTTAACAATGTTTTCAGAACATATTTGGAAGTATTTTTATAGTAAAGCATTCAGAGTATAGGGAGAGAGATATAAGCATGACATAGAGCTGTTTACAGGGTATATTGGAACAATATGTGCGCCAATAAAGCATATGGATATTTAACTTTAAGTACTTATCTAATAAACAGGGTATATTGTGGAAAAGAGTGTATATAGTTAACGCTTATAGTTCATAGCTTGTATATAAATTAATTTTAAAGTATTTCTTTCAATTTATCATAATTATTTAATCAATTAAATGATTCACAGAACAGCTGAAATCAAAGCAAAACATTAAATATTTCATTAAAAGCAAAAAATTGTATAGTATATAAATAAATTCAAAAACTTATCCAAATTCCCAACAGGCCAACATATTGCGGACTTTTATATATTCCAATAGAACTTCTCATATACAAGCTGTCTTCATTTACAGGGTATAAGCTAAAAAAACAGGAAAAAATATCGTAAAAGTCCAAATCATAAAATTACTTTTTATTTACTTTTTTTAGCTGCTGGGCTGAAATCTCGGGAGGTATTATCAGACACGTTTTCCGGTAATTGAAGTGTTTGTTGTTGTGCTCGATGCTCCTGCTGCTGTTGCTATTGTTGTTGTTGTGGCTGTTGGCAGCTGCTTCAGTCCACGCATCGTGGCTCTCATAATTCTCTAGTTGTGACAAATCAACGCCCTCTTGTAGTTAACTTCCTGCTGCCTTTTTACGAGTGTGTGCGTGTGTGTGTGTAGTTTTAGTGTAAGTCCTTGCTCATCTTCTTCTGCGTCTTCTCGTTGTTGTTGTTGATGCTCTTGCTTTATCAAAAGTAATTTCGCTTTTATTTCCTTTGACTATTGCCAGCGATTTCCGTTTTTTTCCGTCAATAATTTCATCTCATTTCATTCTTTGTCATAAAAAATGTTGCAAGTGAAGAAGTTTGTTATCCTTGTCGTTGTTTTTGTTGTTGTTGTTATGCCATTTGATGCATGCAATATGCACAAAGTTTCCTATTTCAATAAAAAAAATGCTATAAGTCGAATTGTGGATATAAATCTATAAAAAAAATCTCGCAACGTTAATAAAAGTTGTTGGGGTTGCGAATGTTTATATTAAGTAGACAGCAGCTGCGAGCCAACAAACTTGCTAGAGTGTATACTTACATATAACTTGATAAGAAATATACCAATTGATCAAACATCTGACCAAATGTAATTCATTTAAGTTTTCACACATATTTCAAAGTCAATCGCTAGAAGTTCAGTTAAATATATGTGTGAATGACAAAACATTAGTTTAACAACACTGTCTGGCCGTTAAGTCTAGTACGCAGTTAGCTAATTTGCATTGCCTTTGTGTGAATGGTTATTTTAACCTGTCGCACATACATATTGTGAATAGCAACGGTCTGAACTCAAAATTGATTAATCTAATCAAATTTTTTTTTGCCAAATTGCTCCGAATCTATGTGTGTGAAAATATGCATGGTAAATGTATGTACGTGTATTTGCGTGTGTATATATCATAATAGATGTTTATGGTGTGGCAGTCAAATAGACGGCTGATTGGTTATATTGCATTTTAAAAAAATTTATATTCAGTACGTCTACGGTTGACCAGCGTCTTGAAAACAATATTTAAACAAAAGTTTTCAATTAGCATCTCCATAAACTGCAATTCTTTGTGGCTTGTCAATCTAAAAGAGACCCTTAAGTAGGTGACGTCATAAAAATGCGAATGTCAAACCGCTAAGCAGTGCGCTACCTGAATTTCATTTTATGCTATGCCTGCATACATATAACGTTTTATTAGCTGGCATATTTATGCATATTATTAAAAATATGTTTTCTATATACATATGTACATGAGCAAAAGTGAAATTTTGCAAGCATCGTGTTTGGCATTTAGCATTTCGCGACAGGATCAACATAATCATTCTGCAAAATATTCATTTGCAGGAAGGGACGCGCGCCTCCGTGGCTCATTAATTTTTATTCGTGCTACGTGTGTGTGTGTGCATGGCTTTTGGTTGCAATAAAAACATATTTTATTAGTTGGCGCAAAAAGGATGCGTGTGTGCGCCCTGGTCCGATCTCAACCACCATTTGAACGCTGATGACTTGCTGTCAGCATAAATTCATTATTTATGGTGCAATCAATGCGACCGAGCGTATGTCAAACACATCAAAAATCAACAGCTCATCAGCCAGCCAAAGGCGACTGTCACTGACATAGCGGAAGTTTGTTTATTTTATAGTTTTCGCCGCCCGTCGGCTCGGTGCGAAAATTTGCAAAAATCCTGTGATGCACCGCGGGTTGTCCAGTCGACAGTTATGGCTCATGTTTGACGTTTGCCTTGGCAAATTTGAATCTCTTTTATGGGACACCTTCAACTTGTTTGATATATACCCTGACTGCTTTGAAATGTGGGGTATGTGCAGTTGCGCAGAGACTGAGCCTTGTGGATGCTAATTCGCTTATCCAGTGGATTATAAGAGAGTTAATACTTTTGTAGTTGTAATTGTGTTAGTGTGTGTGCATGCTTTAGCTTATCAGAGAGAGGAGAGACGACCTTAGTGTGTGAACTCTCCGATCAGTCGTTCACTGTGTGCGCGAATTTAAAGCAAATAGAACAAGAGAGTGCGAGCGCGAAAACGAGAGAGTAAACAGTATTTATTTACTTGTATATCAATACTCTAGCAAAGTATATTTTAATTTTGTCATGCAATATGTAACACGACAAATGCACAATTAAATAAATTTTAATAGAATAGCCAATAGAATAATATAAGCATATATTTATAAATTGCCGTTGTAAATTATATTTGTATGCATTATTAAATTAATTATAGGGTATATCATATTCCATCCATCCATTGTCCATCCACTACCCTGCTGATTTGCTGCTCATTTGGTGGGTGTGGCAGTATCTATTGCTAATTTCGAAATTAACGCATAAATATTTTCCAAAAGTTGCAATAACTCACTTTTGGCAACTTTTTGTTTGATTTGTCCAGTTGAGATGACTTTAATGCCCTTAAGGACTATTATCTGTGGCAACATGCTTCGAGCAAGGCCGACTAATTAAATGCTCAACTGCTGGCTGCGTGTGTGCTCATTTAACGCTGCCAGAGCAAATGATGAATGGCCCAGTGCTTCCTATTTTTGGGCTTATCCATTTTCCACCCTGCAATTAATATGCTCTTAATCAAGACTGGGACGAGTCGAACAACCCAACCGACTTGGACCGAAAGAATGTCTTCCATCATCTTTTGAGACGAAGCTTGCGTGATTTGTGCACCTCAGCTCCAGTTGCTAATGCGTCATTCGCCCTGGCTATATCAATATCCTGACTTGTGCGGTCACGCATCGTATTGCTCCAGTCATAATTTCATTGGGCTCTATTTGTTTCTTATGCGAATCTGCGCGTTGTCAGCTTCGTTATTCCTCTAATGACATTTCAATAATTAATGTACTTTTTTCCCTCATTTTTTCCATTTCCTTTTTCCTGTCGCCGAACTGTGCGTGTCCTTTATGCTGCTATATCTGTATCTATATAGTTAGACTTTCTGACTAGCCCGTCAGCCTTCGGCTGGATCATCAATCAAAATGGTATTTTTAAATGTTTCGCTTAGGAACTGCTTGTCGCGGCTTATAAATGATGCTGTTATATAGTATTTTTTTTCCTCTTGAGGCCTTTTTTGATTACTTTTTGGGCGGGTTTTTTAAATGGCAAATGTCCATCAATTTTAATAAGTCAAAATAAGTCAGAAATGCTAATGTTCTAATTGCATGAAAGTGGGCGAATGTCAATTGTTAAAGTATAAACTAATTATAATAATAAAGTCCTATAAATATTTAATGCTAGAATTTATTTTACTCTATATTTTGCACTTTTATGATCTCTTGACCCTAGTTAGTTTATATTGAAGCACGAATTCTAATCGCATTTACTCTCAAATTATCTTAGTTTACTTCTCTGCTTCGCACAGCTGTCGTAAATCCCACAACAAATGGAACGAGAAAGTGAACAATTTTTCCAATTGACTTATTCGAACACCCTATAAATGGCTTTTCTTGTGGACTTCACTCATAATTCGTGTAAAATGGCATTTCATTAGATAATCTTATTATGTTTCCATTAGTTTTGCTGACTGATTTGATTTAACTTAGTTTTGGGCGCTTTTTTGTGCTCGAAAGGACCAAGAAATGGATAAAGGAATTAGTTAATGGAATCTTGGTGTATATACAAAATATTTCATTATTAATAATAATATTAATATAGATATATTAATGCAATAATAATAATGCAGCAATAATAATAAAAGTCTTTAGTGAAAGATTTAAATAAGGTAAAGAATTATGAAATTGTCTAAAATTTTACCAAGAAATTATGTGATAAGTTACCTTTAAAATAATAGATGGTATATATATATATATATATATATATATATATTTATATATATATAAATAAAATTAAATACAAAATTAAGTTATTAAATTAACGCAAATCAAATAATTTAATTAACTACAACGCTTAATATTAATTTATTTTAAATTAATATAATGTGATTTCATTTCTGGTATTGAAAAAATAATCAAAATAAATTAAAAGAAAATTTTAAATTTAAGAATACTATTTTTTTATCATAATTAAAGCGATTTCTGCAAAGCAAAATAAATTGTTCAAAAAAGCATCGAAGAAGAGGATTTAGGGTTCAAGTCCAGACTCAAGTAGGCTTCATATGAAAAATTACTATTAAATAATATAGATATAGATATAGAAGCAGTATTTATTTTAGAAGTGATTTATGTTTCAACTGACTTCCATAAAGCAACTGCTAGTCGACTACATTAGCTTTTTCATATTTATTTATATTTTTGTATTTCACAGACGTTCGATTGCCTCTGCTCTGCAGGTATTTCGCTTGACCTTCGTTCATTTTGGGTGCTTGAAATGTGTATCTTTTAGTCCCATTGGCAAAAATACCCTTTTTTAGCTATAAATATTTTGGGTTAACAACAAAACTGGCCGAAATGCTAGAGAATTCAGTTGGGTTAAAAGAATTTAGAATTCGAGTCAAGAAATTTGAAGTGTTTTTTGAGATTTGGTTTTATTCTGCAAACGATGGAAACGATGGAAGTTTCCTTAAGTTGGAGCCAAATTAGAAACGCTTTGCCAACTAATTAGCAGCAGAGAAGTTTTGCCAAGTTCTTCTTGCTTTTTTTTTTTTTGAGTTTTGGCCAACATTTGTGTTAACTGTTTTCTGTCTGTGATTTTTACAGCTTTCTGACTTACAAATCGCTCGACAGGGCAAAAGTTTTTATTGCGTGTGGCTCGTCGACCAAGTTGTTCGACGAGCAAACATAATCATATAAACTTGTCTCAATTATTTTTCATATGCCACGCCCAGCGCTTTATCTGCTGAGCGTTAATTAGTTTTTGTTTGGCTAAAGTGAAATTTTTGATTTTTTCCGCGCGCTCCGAACTTTTTATTAACAAAAAATGTTTGCCAATCAAAGTGAATTGAACTCACAGGACGCAGCAGCTTCTGCTGCTGCACCGCTGATTGCAGCTGCATAAGTGCAAAAGTTTAATTAAAAGTCGGGGAGACTTGGCGCCCAAATGGCGCTTATGATGAGCCCCCTTTGAATTGCCAGCGCCTCGATTTTCCATAAGTTCCCAGCAGCAAAGCAGAAAAATCAGCTTAAACATGCAAATTGTTTTGTTAGCACCTAATTTTTTGACATTATCAACCGGGGAGCCAGCCAGCCAGCCAAGTTTCCAGCTGAAAATGTTTCTCTGCATTTTTGCATAATTGAATTTTCCACAAATTTTTTCTGTTAACTTGGCAACTTTGCCGCGAGCGATTTTCCTGCTAGCAAAGGCAAGTGGAAAACTTTTAGCAAAAACTTTTGTCGATATGCAAAACTAACAGCTGATATTATATACAAATGTTTTACATTAAACTATATATTTGCGTTAAACTAATTAAAAATTTACAATTTCTGAAGTGAAAGAGAGAGAGAGAGAGAGAGAGAGAGAGCGATAGATCTGTAAGGTTTGGTATTCAAGTTAAAGAAATCTTTATAGTTGGTAAAAAAATAAAAAACTTTTAGGCGAATTCTGAAAATATCATGATAATTATCACTGATCTTTATATATAAATCTAGATTTTTTTGTTGTCTATAAGTATCCTATTTGTGCATTGTTTTATTCGTGAATTTTAAATTTTGTTTTGATTTACCAGCAGAAATATTTTGTAGCAATTTGTTTTGATGATTTGTTTAATATGATTGGTAACATATCTATCTGTATGTCTGCCTATCAATCTATCTACTTCTCTAACTCCATATATTTAGATATTTATCAATCCATATACCTATATATAGATAAATATATATATTTATGCATCTATCTTTCTATAGGTACATATATTTAACTAAATATTAATTTAATTATTTTTATTATTATTATTATTTATTTTTCTTATTTATTATTATTATTAATTAACTAAATATTAATTTAATTATTTTTAATTGGAATTTAGAAAATTCCAATTGGATATTTGAATTTTTACATTACATCAAATCTATAATTTCTGATAATTTAAAGCAAATCTTTGCTCATTCCGATTCTCAATCTCAGCAGTTTCTAGAAAATTATCTTCCTGTTTGCTATCTCAATTGTTGTTTTAGCTCATAAAATGTTATTTTTATATTATTGAAAACATGTTTCAGTCAACTGAAAAGCCGTCGGTAGCAATGAAATTCAATTTGATTAAAAGCCGTCGGCAGTTTGACGAGACAACAGAAATTTCCTTTGTGCTGCAAGATTAAAAACGGATTCTAGCAGATTATCAGATAAGTCTTCCGTAAAACATGAAACGTTTTACGCACATTATATGCATTCATGAATAGTATACTATATATATTATATAGATATATCAGTACAGCTATATATATATATAGTAATTTGTCTCTCTTTGACTTATTTAACTTCCGTTTACTGCTAATTTATTTCCGATATTGATAAATTAATGTTTTTTGAGTCATTAAATAAATAAAATATATTTTTTTAATTTTTGCTCTCTTTTTCTCTGCTGTCGAATGCTGAAAATTTCAAGACAATAAATAAATAAAAAATCATTTACAATTTTTTTTTATTTTTTTTTTTATTTCGTTTTTTTCTTCGTTTTTGGGCTTGTCAAAAAATTGATACAATTTTCTTTTAGGCAAACCTTTTAAGGAGTTTTGTTTAAGCTGCGCTTCGACAGCTTCTACAAAATCGTCTAGCAGGACGCTTACAAACTAAGACATATATTTTTCATTATTTTTGTGTTACAATTAAATCAAATATTGCTAAATCGAAAACTCGTTTCGCTTGACATACATATATATTTATAGTTGTTGTTGTTGTTGCTATATAGAAACAAAACCATTATCACAATCGCTTTGATGAGTAAACTTAGAAGCGGGAAGAATTTTGGGTGTAAGATGCTGTTGTTGTTGTTGATGCCGTCGGTGTTTAGCCCTAAGATAAGACTAATAGAGTATATGGAATTTGCCTATGTACTTATTGATGGACTGTGGGCAGTTGTTGTTGTTGTAGAAATAGTAGCAGTAGTATTAGTTGCTGTTGTTGTTTACTCAAGTTGCGTTTTCACTGCGATGGTTTGCGCCACTTGCCACACTTGCGTCCTGCTCGCTGCAGACACTGGCTGGCCGTGGAGTCCATTAGCTGGCGTATGGTGTTCAATACAACTGTTGCCATTTGCCACTGACGTAGACGCAACAGCTGCTTCTCCTGCTCGCGCGCCTTGCGCAGCATTTCCTTCTGGTCCGGTATGTAGAAGGCCACGGCCATTATTGTTGTTGTTGTTGTCAAGGAAAACTTTGTTTCTTTGTTTCCAATTGCACAATTGTTTGTAATTAATAAATGTCTTTCTTTCTGCGTATGACTCAAGACTTTCTCTTTGCAGATTCGCGCGAGGCACACAATGAATAAATTAACTACACAAATGCTTTGTTGTTGTTGTTGCTGTTCGCATTTACGCACACGTCAAAAATGTGTGTTCGAGGTTCGTTCACTTTGTCTTGCTTCGCTGCTGCTGCTATTCTGTTCTGCTCTGCTCTGCTCGCTCTGCTCTGCGTCCGCTCACTACTTTGGCTGATTTCAAACTGGCTGGCGTGAGCGCAATGCACGCTCTTTTATATGCCGCTCGCTCTCGCAGTCGCAGTCGTCGTCGTCGTCAACGTCGTCGTTCGCTGTCGCTGCTGCTGCTCCTCTCACTTGGTCGCATCGTTTTCGCTCGCGTTGACTCGCTCGCTGGCTATATAAAATTTTTTTGTTTTGGTATTTTTGTTGACATCGCCTCATTCGTACATTTTTCTTGTTGCCAGGTCGCGGCTGCATCTACAAAGTGGGCGTGGGCAGGGCGGCCACCTTGCGCCTGTTGCCAAGCAGTGTGTGCATGTGTGTGTGTGTGTGTGGCGTCGCCGTCGCGCCTTTGTTGTAACTGTATGCGGCGAGAAGTACAGTTAGCATATTAATTGTATTAAATCGTCGTCGCATGACAAACATTTTCAACAAAACGTCTGGAAGGCAAAACGGGAGCTGACAGAGAGCGTGAGTGATAGAAAGAGAGACCAGGAGAGAGCGTGTGTGTGTGCGACAGTTGAAAAATATGGGCAAGTGGGCGAGTCTGTGTTCCAAGTAAAAAACCCAGATAAATTTGTATTAAGATCCACATAAATAATTACAATTTACTTCATATAAATACACACACACACGCACACTTGAGTCAAGTTCATATATTTGATGAGTTTTCAAATATGACGAGCCTTTTAGCCAAGTCTTTATCAGCAGATTTCTATGAAAATGTTTTTGCCGACGCTTCCGACTTGGTAGCTGGAGCTGTATATAAATATATATATATTTATAATATAACAGGTGAGTAGTATAGGTAATGACAGTCTGTCACGAATTCTTTATAGATTTATACACAAATACATACATACATATATATATATATATATATATTTTTTTTTTGTTCAACAATGGGCTTGTTATCTTTTGTTCATAATTCGTATGATCGTATTCATTAGACCGAAACGAACTGAAAATTATTATTATATCATTGCAATCTCAGTCGCTAAACGGCTACGATATAGACACGAGCACTTCCGAAATTTCATATGTATTCATTGACTTCTTGAACGCATTTCATTCAGAACTTTATATAGAATATCAGCAAATACATCCACAATCAATTGCATGTATATATATAAATATATATATATATATATATATATATATATTTATATATATATATATATGGGTGCCATTAAGTAAATTAAGAATTAGTGTTATTTAAATATAAATTTGACAAAGGCAATCTTCAGTCAACCCTCTGAATGTAGTTCAAATTAGTCATAAATTGCCGGAGTTACTTTAATTAAACACATGATTAATACGTCCCTTGGCAACAGGAGAAAAAAGCGTGTAAACAACTTTCCAACTGATGAAATTCAGTTTCGATTGTTCTTGGCCAACCTATCGACAAGCCGAACTGGCCAAATGAATGGGCTCTTTAACTCCACCCACAAACTCGTCCGTACTTTGGTTAGCCTTAGCGCATTGCGTCTCAAGTGTCTTTCAGTCGTTGCTTCTATTACACAACTTCCACTTAGGGGTTGCTCCAGACCTTCTATTGTTACAAGAACTACTCGCTGCCTGGCTGGCCATGGCTCTGTGTGAGTGAGTGAGTGCGTGTGTGTGTGTGTGTGTTCCTTTGCACTGCTCTAACACATGCTGCCTGTCCGCTTGCGCACACACAGACGACAAAGTCGCTGCATAGTTTTTTCTCTCTTCTTCTTTGCTTCTTGGTTTTCCGGGTTCGCGCCGGCAACATAAATCGAAAAGGCGTGGCTTATTTCCCTAACGTCGGCAAACATATTCCACACCAGAAAGAAGCCGCAATAACATTTTCTGTTTCGCTTTCGGCCGCAATGAGCCAACGGCTGAAGTTGGATTTTTGTCTGCTTCTGTTTTGGGATTTGGTATTTTGGCTGCCTTTATTTTTTTTTTTTTTTTTGGACTACTTTTTGTGTGCGCTGGGCGGAGCTTTGGCCGAAACCTTATTTAATGGGCTACCTTTTTGTGGCTGTTATTTTTATGAATCAGCATTTCTGGGTGGAGTCTCTAAGTCCATAGATTTTAACCAAAATAAGAAAAATAAAAAAAATACAAGAAAAAAAGAAAAAGAAAACAATTCTGAGTTCGATTTGCCGTCGGTAATTTACGCATTAGGCCATCCTTAATTGAGCCAATTAGTGCATTGCCTTTTTCCAGATTGAATATTGAGATAAGAGTTTAGAATTGAGAATTGTTCAATGAGCCGTAAACTGGGTTGCCTTGTTTTCTTAAAGGATTACATGATAATTCTTTTCTGCAGATCTCAACAATCAACTTTCTTTCTTACTCATGCGGGTAATTATTGCAATTTATATGGAAGTCGACGTGTGTCAAACATATCTGGGGTTGTTTAGATCTATGAATAATATTTATATATATATATATACAGCATCGTTGTCGCTATCAATTTGCATATCTAATTGCATGGAAACCCGATTTGCTACTTGGAACTGAATTTGTCAAATTAGCTTTTAATTGAGTTTTCAATCTGCATGCCGAATCACCCACATGATCGAAAAGTGCAGCTTTCCGATGCGTGCGTCAATCGAAGTTTCCTGAAAAGTTCCCAGCATTCAAATAGCTTGTTATAATATATGTATTTCACCAGTTTTCTGATGTGGCGTGTCTTTGTTTGCGGCGGCTTTGGGACTGCCTCAAAAAACCCCTATAGGGAAATGTGTCGAGCACAGCTCAGCTATAGCTGCGGCTGCAGATACGTCACATATACCGACCCGTCGAATGTGCTAATGCGAGATGCTAACAAAGAGATGATTTGCGTAATACTAAACCTGATTTCAGCTTCTACCTTGCTCTCGATTTCTAAATGACTTTCTTGTTATTAACTTTGCAGCATTTGTTGCTGAACGACTGCTAAAAATAAAAACATTCTCTTCATTTCTTTCTCACTTTTTATCACTTCATATCTCTTGCTCACTCTCTGCCTCTCTTTCACCTCTCTCTCTTCTCTCTCTATTCCTCTCCTCTCCTCTCTCTCCCCCTACTCTATCCCCCTCTCCTCTATATCCCTCTCCTCTCTCTCTCTCTCTCTTTTCTCTCTCTCTCTTTCTCTTTTCTCTCTCTCCCTCTCCTCTTTTTATTTCTGTCTCTCCTTTCTTCCTCCATATCTCTCTCTACTCTCTCTCTTCCTCCATCTCTACCTCCCTACTTCCACCTCCCTCTACCTCTTTCTCTCTCCATCTCTCTCTATCTATCTCTCCCTCTATCTATCTCTCCTTATCTCTCTATATCTCTCTATCTTTCTGCTAGTCCACGACCCAAGCTCAAGCGGGAGTCAAATGGGAGCTCAGCAGTTCTAGAAGATATAACTCAGTTGCCACACTCGCTATATTTATATATATATTTACTATATATTGCATATTCCAAATCTCTAGCAAAGTTATGGTAGACTCATATCGAAACGAGTTAAAGTTCCAAATTCCGGTGCAGACCGGCTCATTCATGCTCTGCTTATCTCTCGATTGGCTTGCCCGATCGCTCGCTCGTTCGCTCTCTGGTTGCATTTCGTGTAATTTGTATTAATTTTTTATGATCTCCACTGAGGTGGCCCCGCGCCTTGCCGTCCACAAATTTTTGTTTTATTTTCTTTATTTGTTTTCCATTTAGAAAGCAGCGTAACAAAGACAATTGCTGGGTGATCCGTTGCGCATGGGTCATTAACTTGCCGCCGCTTGTAACGCCTGTCATTGAGCGCTGCTTAGGCAGGCGATCGTCTACGCGCGGCGATCGCGGAAGCTTCCCAGAGAGAGACGAACGAGCGATGAGTCATCCGCTGAGGCAAGGTAAGGGCTGGGGCAGGGGCAGGTAGTGGCGGGGGCCCTGGCAAACGAGACCCATTTAATGTTGTTTAACGACTGTTTGGGGTCTGTCTGTGGGGTTTCATCTCGTCTGAGCAGTGCACAACATGTGCATAACTGTTCGGATTTGGATTCGGACGCGGTCCTCAACACACACTCAACGCAAAAAAGCAGCAGAGGAGAAAAAAAGATACAAGCCACGAAAAATGATATGCCGATAAGATTGTTAAACAAGCGCTGCCCGAAACCAGATGTGAACCTTCTTCGTCGGGAACTCTTGGCCTTTGTTTAATTTATTTGATTGTTCTTTTTGTTTGCCCATCGATGAGTTCTCTGTGTGTGCCTGTGTGTGTGTGTGTGTGTGTGTTTGTGTCTTGTACAAACATGTCAGTGCTATATGTTAGTAATTTTCGCCCCTTTTTCCATAGATTTTATGAATAGATAACGCATCTTCACTTCTACCATTAACTGCAACGGCAACTGCAGCTCACAGATTTTTTATGGCCCGCTTTGTAGGTGCATGCAACGACTTGTCCGAGTCGTCGCTGAATTGTTTGCTTATGTCATTATTTGTCTATCGTCTTAGTTGCACTAATATTTTACCCATGGGCAGTAGTCACTTCAAGTGGAGTGAGCAGTGTGCCCAAGCGGGTCGAGAGTATGAGTCATGCGTCAGACCACGTTGCGGTTGCAGCCGCTGGGAATGCGCGTGTCGAAATAGGCGGCAATTAGAGTTGATTGTGAAGTAGGTGCAAGTGCATAAATAAATTTATGGAGCAGATCGTTAACATGCGTCTTAAACATGGCAAAAACTCGCTGCTGGACAGCTAGAAGACAGCGATGAATCAATGCCAGGCACAGCTACTGTCAGCTGGCTGTTCTATGGAACACCTGCATATTGTATTGCTTTGCGTATCTTTCAGCGTGAGGTGAATAGTTAATAGGCAGCTGAGAGAACGAGGATTAGGATTGAGGTATGAAGGAAGTGCATAGAAGAAAGATATAGAAGATAAGATATATGGAAGATAGAAATTAGAAGATCTGAGCTAGAAGTGCCTTAAAAGGGGATAAGGAAGAGAAAGGGCAGGGGTGGAAAGGGGGACGAAGGACGGCAGAGAAGAGAAAAACGGAAGGC